AAATTACTCTTGCATAGGTGCAGCCCCTTTTGCATTGTGTAGATATTCAATTGTCATTTGGGATTTCAAATATTTTGGAGCTTGGTGATCATTATTTGATATGAACTCTTGATGAAATATTGTACCATAATATTTAACACATTGCCATAGATGATTTTGGGGCCCATGGGAGTTAATATTCATTTTGTAAGGAGGGGGAATTGAGGAGAAGATGTTTATGAAGGTTTCTAATTAAGGGAAACTATTTAGAAATGTTTCCAATTATGTGTATTATATGTTAGGAATGATTTAATTAGGGAGGTTTTAATTAAGAAGCTTCCGATTATGTTTATTATATGTTAGGAATGGTTGAATTGGGGAGGTTTTAATTAGGAAGATTTCAATTATGCGCCTGATGTGTTGTGTCTATTTAAGGGGGAGTTTGTCTAGGGTTTGAGGTTATGTTTTGCTGAAGTTTATTTTAGGGTTTGTTGTGAGTTTTCTAGCAGCATCTAGGGTTTGTGGGGGAGCTGATCTACCTCTTGAATAGTAGATCAATTGTATCTTGCATTTTTTTTAAGAAGAAATCCAAATTCAGCCCCTAGATTGGTATTCCTGCATTTATTTCTCATCTCCATTGCTATTTTTACTTCCAAGACACATCAAATTGGCATTAGAGCGAGGTTTTTGGAGAGATAACAACAGAGAAGGTGGATACGTTGAAAGAAAAAAATAGAACAAATCAAATCCGGGTTGGAGGAGATATTCTTAACCATCGAATGAAGTTTTTCAACCATGAAAAATTGGATGGAGAGCCGATTTGGAGGGTTGGAGGAGATGCTGAAGAAGCTCATTGAGATGCAATCCAAAACTCCCACAGTGGTTCTGATTTCTAACCCCCACCACAATTTGACTGGGATTCTCTTGGCTGAATCTAAAGAGAAAGAGATCGGATGGAAAGAGTTCGTTGACGAGAGCTCATTTCATCAAGAGCCACCTCCTAGGGCTCCGATAAGGGGCGGAATAGGGTTTTCGGATGGGAGGACAACATGTAGGGAGTTTTATGGTTGAGGTGTAAGGTGACTGTCCACTATGTGTGGCCGACGCCGTTTAGACAAAAGGGGAGTGGACAACCGAAGAAGGAGGTGGATCGAATCATGGTAGGCGAGTGGAAGGAAGGTGGGATTCCCACCCTCGATACATGAGAGACATGGAGAGATCACAACGATCGCTACATTGGAGGAGGAAGAAGCTATTGGGGTGGTGGCGATCATACGGTGAGAAAGTCGAAGAAGTGAATGATTGAGGAGAAGAAGATTGAGAGTTCAATAAGTGAAACACAAGCTGCTTCTAAGGATAAACTGATAGACAAGCCGAAATATGTGAATAAAGATGACAAAGAAATAAACTTGCAAAGCCAAGTTGATGGTACTGATTAAAACCTAAGTCTTGTACAAAGTGATTTTGCCGAGACATCCACATCCCAAGAATTGTGTTTTCAGAATTAGAAAATTAAGATTTGAAAGACAATGAAACCAAACCAACATCTGAGAATGAAAGAAAACCAGATAAACACCTTTGGTTTCTATTGATGTGGGTATTTTTTAAGATGTAAATGTTGAGGTTAAAATATAGGATGTAGCTAATACAAAGAGCTCAAAGTACAAAGTTGACATCGAATTGATTAAGTCGAAAGTTTCTAAGGATGAAATTTAGGTTGAAACTGCTGATGCACTTGTTTTTTTCCTTCCGGGTATGGTTAGTCGCTTCACAAAATATGTGCTTGTGACAAAGAATATGGTAAGTGGAGTTGCAAGAAATGTTGCGGGCATTGAACATGCAGTTCTCGGGTTATCTAAGTTCTTGATAGTAATTTTAAGGTATAATGTAAACCTTGCACTAACGAGATTACGTAAACAATCCTGGATGTGATCCGTCAATTGCCTGCCACACTTCATAATAAATCAGAAGATTCAATGTGCCAATCAGTACAGACTAAAAAAAAAAAGATGAGAGTAAGGTGAAAAATCATGATACATTTTCTGGAGCAAGGTCATTAGATATGCAACAGACAATGGATTAGGTAGATCAAACTTCTACTAATGTTGATAAGTTATGGTCTTCCACCTTTCCACATCTTTGTGTTCATCCAAACTTCTCAAAATTATTTACAAGCTTACTAGAAAGACTTCCAAAAATGGTTCTAAGAAGTAAAGAAGTAGTCGCACTCTCACATGCACGAAAATTGATTTCATTAATGTATTATGCAAGTCCAGAACTTGTAGATGATCACATTTTCTGCTCACCTATGAAGGCAGCTCGTTTTTTGGATTTGTTTATGCTTTATTTTGGTCACAATTCATATTTTAGTGGCTCCATTGATAAGTTAATTTCTTCTAAACCACTCTCAGATGCTGAGTTGAAGGCTAGCTCTCTTTCTAGTAGTGTAAGCCATGTTATTAATGGTGATGATTTGCCTCTTGTTTCTAAGTTGTCCATGGAAAATCCTTCAGAGAACATGCTTAGTGAGTATGAGTTTCGTAACATGCCTCCCTGGTTCTTAAATGTTGGGAGTCAAAAAATATACTTGGCTCTTGCCAGAATTCTTAGACTCGTTGGTTTATCAATAACGACATGGAACAAAAGCGGCGTAATTTATTGGACCTCATTGATAATCTTTTTGAACATGCGAGGAAACTCATTTCTGAAGTTAGAATGAAAGGATGCAAGAAAGAGGGTTGGCATGCTCAGTATTCCTGATGCGATTCAGGACAGCTGCTCCATCAAACAAGTATGATAGTTTGTGTGTTAAATGAAATAATATACGGATTGGCCCACATCCAGTTAGTTACTTAGTTCATGTTTGAAATTGTTTAGAATTGAGAAAAAATGTCGAAGAAGCACTGAAAAAGGAATTTATTTGTAATAGCGATCTACTTTCTACTTCTAGAAGGTCATCCTAGAAAGTTCATCAAGGGAAGGATGCGAGAGAACACATAATTCATTATGTTGGGAGTATTCTGCATGATTATACATCATCTGAAGTATGGAACTCCCTGCATATCCAACTTCTTCTCAGCTAGAATATGACTCAAAAACCAATATGTCGTTGTATATTTTTAGGAATTCTAGAATGCTCCACTAGAAAGATGTGGAGGAGATGTTGGCCAGCTGCGATATCTGTCGAAAGCACAAATACATGGCGATAGCTCTATGAGGACTTCTAAATGGATAATATCTTTGTTCCACCTTGAACACAATGCGATTCTTTATGAGGGGAGTATTGGTACACCGGGGGAGCACCTTGTAGGGCAAAGGGGAGTAGTTATTATTCATTATGTAGGGATGAGGAGTCAAGGGGAAGCTGTTTAGGAAGGTTCATAATTAAGGAGAACTATTTAGGAATGTTTCTAATTATGTTTACTATATTTTAGGGATTTAATTAGAGAGGTTTTAATTAGGAAGCTTCCAATTATGTTTATTATATGTTAGGAAGGATTGAATTGGGGAGGTTTTAATTAGGAAGCTTCCAATTATGTTTCTTATGTGTTGTGTCTATTTAAGAGGGAGTTTGTCTATGGTTTGAGGTTATATTTTGCTGAAGTTTATTCTAGGGTTTGTTGTGAGTTTCATAACGGCGTCTAGGGTTTTTGACTATGCATGCATATTGCTAAGCTTTCCGTTGCTTGAGGTTGGTTCAAATGTCTTCTAGCTATTCTTGAGCCATGGTCAGATTGATTCGAGATCAAATTGTTAGATATCCTAATTAATATGAGATCATAAGTGATATGTAAATAAATGCTTAATGAAACAAAACAAAATTGATGAAAGACATAAATAGTGAATCTATAAGATAACAATGTTAAGCAATTTGTATACGGCATGTATCTAAATTAATTACATTAAAACATGGCAAAATACATGAAAATAACGGGACTAAATCCAAGTAATAAATTATGTCCTAATTTTATGATCCTAGCATCATTCATCTAATGAATCAAACATTGCATAATCATTTCTTCAAGTTAGTGAAATTACCAATAATTAAATCCGACTTTATTACATGAATAAACTATTTTGTTTACTAAGTACAGAAAAACAAGGAGAGATATATGCCAGTTGAACTATTTCAATGCGACCTTAGCATGAATGATTGAAAAATGCGAATTCATAAAATCAATATCATATAGTATAAGGCTAATGATAGGGGATTGAGGAAGAGCAGAGAATTGCTTCGATTGCGTCACAGTTGTGATGGGAAACAACTGGAAACGAAACGATCAGGAACGAGAAGAATGGAACACGACAAGTGACTATAGCGATTTGATGAGCATGGTTTCCTTCCTTCCACTAATGATCTCCCCAGTGGATAAACTAGAAAAAAATACTATTCATTTCACTCCAATTCTTCCCATAAGTCGAGAATGTAAATCTCCTACTGCCATGGTCTCATTAGTTAGTGGGCCTTGAGAAAGAAAAATAAACTTATTTATTTTGAGTTATTACAATCATAGCAGTAGTTATTGTCATTATAATCATTGTCATGATCATCATCTATTGATTATTGATTAGATTCCAACTTCTAGCAACTTTATGCTTCTGGAGAGGCCTTTTTTCTTATTAAATAGACTTTGCAGCACTTTTTTTTTCAATTTTTTATTTACTGTTGTGAGAAAGAAAAATAAAACACGAGAATAAGACTTCATTTGGGATGGCTTTCTTCTGCTTCTTAAAGCAGCTTTCTAGTAAATTTTTGTACTAGAAAGCTGCTTTATGAAGCAGTAAGAAAGCTGTCCTAAACGAAGCCTAAGTCATTTTCTTTACTTTTCGGACATAAATACCCATATTTTATGTTGATTCATAGTCTTCTAATCATTTTACAGCATTTAGAACCATTTTCCCATGGCTTCTGTTGTCAACAAATGCCTTGCATGTTCTGTCGAGAAGACATGAAGGCTTTATCCTTTACATCATTATTTGATTTTTAGTGCTGCTTTCTTGAATATATGTATGCTTTTCAGGAAGATGAGCAAGAAGATATTCAGGCTGCCGAAGTCATTTCCGATCAATCAGGTCCTGCATGTGAAACTCAGAAGGTAACTTATTTTCTGACGGTAGTTGAAATTTTATTTTTACTGCAGAGATTTGAACCCTTGATTTCATGTGATTGATATTTTTATTTCCATTTGGTCTGTAATGATTTGAATGAATTTTATCCTTCAGGATGAGGTAGATGACTCTGGTCATACTGCTGGAGACGATATTGCACTACACCAAGAGCAACAAATACCAGATGATGTGGAAGAGTATAACCAGAGGGACTATGAGCAAGAGGATCAACAGTATATTTTGCGGAGATCATACCCTAACCAGAGAGGAGGACGCGGTGGAGGCGGTCGGAGAGGTTACTCTAATGCACGTGGTCGCAATGGCCGAGGCAACGGTGGCGGCTATCAGAATGGACGTAACCAGTACTATGATCCTGCTTATCATCCAAGAAGCTACTATAACACCAGAGGTCGGGGCGGGAGACCAGGAGATTCTGCCATGTACAAACCTCAAGGACCATCAGGCCATGACAATCATGACCCATAAAATTTTGAAGCAGGTGCAAGTTGTTAGTTTTGGATTAATATGCAAGTTTTTAGATGTAATGGATATCATTCTATTGAGCTGGAAATTGAAAACCTTAGAGATATTTACTTTGCTGCATGTTTATTTAAGAATTATAGGGTTATGCTAATTATCATATTGATGTTTTCCCAAATGAGCATTAGAATGTTGAAATGCTGTAAAGGATGCAAAGAATGTTGTTCCAGTTGAGTTCCAGCTTCATATAGAACAAGTGCATTGGGAGCTTTAATAGTTGTGCTGCCTTTGTTGTAGGGTTGTATTCTTCTTCTAATCATAATTATAGCAGAACTATTTGCTGATTCTATGCACCAACCTTTGGTTTTTTTTTTCCTGGATTTGTTTTGTTTTGAATTTGCTTGCTTTTTTGTCTGGAATTGTATTGTTTTGTATTTGTTAAATGTTGGAGACTATGAAGACTTTAAATAAGAAGCACACAATGAGGGCATCTCCAATCAAAATGAACGTCATTTGCCTATCGTTTGTTTGTAGTTGTCACAAGTCTCTGCCTGAACGCCAAGCAGAAACACATTTTGCATTTTGTGTTGCGAGCACGGTGTTGCACTGTTCAAAACACAAAAATAACGTTTAATTTGCAATTTGGTTGGACGGTTGGGGCTGTTGTAAACTAGAAAATGTCGTTCGCTTGGAGATGTCCTAAGATCGGTTTTCTTTCTCTTAACTTTGTTCAAATTTAAATAAACATTATTTAATTTTGCTTGGACTTTTTTTCAGTTGATCTGATCCTATAATGATCATTGAGATACATCTAAATTTTTAAGAAGAATAATTAAGTATATGATAAGACATTTTTGCTTTTAAAATGAATACAGTAAATAATTTGGAATAAAAAAACACAATTTGCTTAATCTATCTTATTTACAATAAAAAATTTTAATTAATAAAAATATGCAGAAATTTAATGTTTCAGATAATGTCATATCATCCTATTGTTTGGTATGTTGTATAAGATATCAGATCACATCATCCTATTGTTTGGTATGTTGGATAAGACTCTGATCATTTAATAATGTTTAATTTTAAAGATTATATTAAATAGGTATGAACTCTGTCAATTATTTATATCATATATACGATGAAGAATTTTTAATATGAACTAACGTATTTTTAACATTGTTGGTAAGTATGAAGCAGAAAAAATTTGATCGCAAATTTAAAGTTTAAATATCTAGCCCATATAATTGATAAGATTATGGTATTTTGTGCATATTTGATTTGATTAAGGTTACGTTTGGGGAAGCTTAACGACTATTTTCTTAAGTAACTTTTTAGTATTTTTTTTAAACTATAAATATTATGATATAAAATTATTTTAATAAGTAGTAAGAAAGCTATCCCAAACGAAGCCAAAATTAGTTGCATATTCACAAAATTTTTAGGAACTTTTTGTCAGTTCTATGTGAATCTGATTCTGTCGATCAATTAGGAGTGACACGGTGCTATGTGTTCGAGCGCCCCAATGTTGTGTGTCCAAATGCCCCGATGTTATATGTCTTTGCGCCTCAATGTTGTGTATCTAAGTGCTTAGAGGTGCTAAACAATTATATGTATAATCGATAGAGGGTGGAGCATCGTAACGCTCTATATTCAGCGCCGGAGTGCTGCCAGACACACTGAATGACATATGTTAGAGCACCGCAGTACTCCAAACTGACATCGCATTGCTGTGAGACAGGCTGACAGCTTTGTTTATCATTTTTCATTAAGGGTTGCATCCCTTGGTCATTTGTATTGTATCTATTTATTTGTTCTTGTATATGAACATTGAAAGAGAGAAGAGATATCTATACTAATTCTCCCAAATTTTCATAATGAACTTTTTGGTGTTGTATGACTTTCTAGTTTTTTCACAGTTTCAGATTTTTTTTCATGTTAAATTTTGGTGTTTCTTTTTTGTTTATGTTGTTTTTACATTTCTTATTTGTTTCATTGTGAAGTTTTACTTCCCACCCCCAACAACTAATATAGAGCCACATTCTTTAGTTCGAATGAGAGTAATGACAGACGAAGCAAGATACAAGATTGAGAATTTTCAATGGTTCGAACTTCGCATTCTCGATGATGTAAATTGAATGTTTGTTGTATCATAAAAAGTTATATTTGATATTGGAAGGAATCACTAGAAAGTTGGATTTTATAGCTATGGAAGAGTGGAAGGTTATTGACTGGAATACGCTAGGTTTGATATGACTCACTTTCCTCATCTGTTACATTCAACATTCTAAATAAGAAAACTACAGTCGATCTCATGGCCGTACTAACTAAGATGTATGAGAAGTTGTCGGCCTCAAATAAAGTGTTCTTAATGAATACATCAATATGAAGATGTTGGATAGTACCTGAATGGCAGAGCACATGAATAGTCAAAACACTGTGATGAGTCAGTTGTGTTCAGTTGGCATCAAGTTTGATGATAAGGTATGAGTTTTGATGTTGTTATCTTCATTGCTAGAAAGTTGTGATGGGCTTGTTACTACTATGAGTAACTCTACAAGAAGTTCAAAGTTGAACTTTGAGGATATTGAACATTATTGCATATTAAATGTGTATTTGATGTGTATCGATAGAGTATCTGTTACGTTTTGGCTGTGTATTTAGTGCTGATACATCGTCCAAAAATAATCTTGATCGGGCATGAATCTCAAAGCAAAATCAAGTTAGAAACTTATGGAATTAAAATCAGGAGCATCCGATCTCCAATTTCAGCAAACTTACAGTTAAACTGAGCGTCTCGGAAATACAAATCCAACGACACCAAATTCGACCCAAACCGAGCCCAAATCGATCCAAATCAACGACCCGAAACACTATTGGAAGGTTCAAACCCCAATTTGGATTACCAAACGGTTTCCAAACATAACGAACTTATACTCGAATCGAGCGGCTCGACGAGCCGAATCCAACGAGCCCAAGATCACTGAATTCCGGCATCACTAAGACATTCAAATGTCCATCAAACGGTTCATGATCAAGGGATTCAAGATGGGCCATCCATCCAACCACTCCCAACTTACCCTTGATCCTCCATCTATTTATGGGCAATGCAAGTCCCAAAATCTATAAATAGAGCTCCCTCTCTTCTTGAAAAAGGACCCCTGAGCCTAAGGAAAAAAGAGAGAGATCAGATATCGCTCTTGCTTCCTAGCCTCCTCGACCATTACCGGAGTTTTGCCGGACCACCACCGGAGTTTCGACGAACCACCGTTGCTCCACCAACGCCGAACGTCCGTCGGACCACCGCCTAACGCCGTTGCTTCGCCGGACCACCACATGACGCCCTGTGCTCCGCTGGACCACCGCCTAACACCGTTGCTCTGCCGGACCACCACCTGACGCCCTGTGCTACGTCGAACCACCACCTAACACCGTTGCTACGCCGGACCACCACCTGACGACCTGTGCTCCGCCGAACCACCGTCTAACGCCGTTGTTCCGCCGGACCGCCACCTTAGGCCTTCACTTTTGTCAGACCGCAGTCAGAAGCCTCACCTTCGTCAGACCTCCACCCGAGGCCCTCATCTTTGCCAGGTCATCATCTAAGGCACAGATTTCTATCAGACCATCCTCTGAGGCCCGAAGCTCTGTCAGATCATCTCTTGACACCCGGATTTCTATTGTACAGTTGCTACTTGTAATCTGATCATCCTCAGAGATGAGTCAGCACATTGTAACCAACTCAAGTTCTAGTGAAATCTTTTCAACTGGGCTAGGCCCCGTGGTTTTTCCCCTTTCAAGGGTTTTCCACGTAAAAAATATTGTGTTCTCTGTGTGTGAGCTAGATATCCGTATAACGCTAAGACGAACGATTAAAACTCTATCGCCGTGTATATTCTAGCCCGCAACAAGTGAGTATTTGTTGTACATTTTCTATATTTTTAGTACGCATTTTCTACGTATTTGATATGTATTTAGCGCGTATTCATTGTGGAGAAACCCTCAATCAAATTTTTGTTTAATGATCATGTTGTTATGCTTGTTTTCTTATTTTTAAATTTTTTGGTTCTGCAATTCTAATACGTGTATCTTTACTTTTTTTTCCTTCTTGGGGCATTGGCATGTGTAATAATTAGTGTTTGAAATGGTTGAAGAGGGGTCAGTCTTCTATGGATAGTCCTTCATTACTGGTTTGACCACTTTTAATGTTGTATTTATGTTGGTACATGTATATATGTTGCTTGCCTAGCTTGGGGGTGGTTGAGGTAGTTGAAGGAAGTGTCGTCTGGTTCAGTCTTCTATTGATGGTCCTTTATTGCTGGTTTGATAACTTTATTGTTGTTTCTATGTTCCGGTCTCCCAACTTTCACCAAAATCTATGACACATAATTGAAATAAATCTTCCAAAGTCTGAATTGTTCTTTCTGATTGCCCATCCGTTTAAGGGTAAAATGCAATGCTGAAACTCAATTTGGTACCTAAAGCTTCTAAAATCTTTTTCCACAATCTTGAAATGAATCGAGCATCTCTATTAGATAATATTGATTTTGAAATTCCATGCAATTTCACAATTTCATTAACATATATATTTCTTAATTTTGTTCACTTATATATTTGTTTGATTGGTAAAAAATGAGTAGAGTATGTAGATCGATCTACAATGACACACAACATCCTGACTCAATCTTGATAAGGGTAATCCAATTAAATAATTTATTGCAATTTCTTCTCATTTCCACTCAGGTATTAATAAAGGTTGTAATTGATCATTTGGTATTTGATGTTCAGCTTTAATCATTTGAAAGGGAATGCATTTTGTAATGTTTCTTTTCAATACTGGCCACCGATATAAACCCCTAAGTTCTTGATACATTTTTGTATTATTTGGATGAGTTTCAAAACCAGAGAGGCGAGCTTCCAATAATATATCTTCCCTTAAATTATCAACATTTGGAATAAAAAATCTACCTTTATATTTCAACAGTTTTTCATCATCCAGTACAAAATTTTCGAACTGCTCTGCCTACACCTTCTTCATGATTTCTTGGAACTTTACATCTTGGGAGACATAATTACATATTCTATCCTTCAATATTGATTGAATTACCATATAATTTAATAACATAATTTTTGTTTCTTTCTAATTTATAACTAAAATTTGCATAGAAAAAATGTATTTTAGCTTAATGCATCTACAACTATATTTGCATTTCCATAATGATATTGTATATATGAATCATAATTTGATAATCTCTACCCATCGCCTCTATCTTAGATTATGCTCTTTCTGATTAAATATGTATTTAAGGCTTTCATGATCTATGAAGGCTTCACACCAGGCTCTATATAAATAATG